TGATTGGCTGACTTACAAGGAAGATAAACACAATCACAATTAATAATTGAAGTAAAGAACAATTAAAGTTAAAGGATGAAATTTGAAAATAAAACAAAAAATAAATAAAAAGAGAAGAAGAGATAGGGACGAAGAAGATGGAAGGAGAAAGAACATGGGGTCAAGGGATATTAAAGAGGAGAGAGAAGGAAGTCAATTATTTTAAAAAATAGAAAATAAAAAATTTTGTATATATGGGGTTAAAGTGGGGTTAAATGGTGGTGTGCCTATAGCATTATTCCCCTACTTTTTTTTCCTTCCTTAGACCTCTTCTTCTCATCATTACATTCTTTTTTATTCTTCTGCCTCAATCTCCCATCATAAAAAAGAATGGGCAATTGCATTATTGGTGCAGGGTGAGTTGGAAAAAGATGGGAAAGTGAACTATCTAAAAATTGTGTCAAGTCACTATAAAAAATATGAACTTAATTATGGGTAATCTCATGGGACATGTAAGCTAAAACATTCCGACTGAACAACTCTTGTTACACTTGAATTAGGTCCATACCAGTTCCATAATCTACAAAACAGGATTTGCAATGGTGAACAACAACTTATTAAAAAAAACCAACTTTTATTATGAAATTATGAAATTAACAAACGTATAATCGGCACGTAACAGGGTAAGAATTAACTAACTACTGCAAGCAAAATATTACTCCTTATGCCACAAAATAAAAACAAAACACGAATTGAATTAACTAGTGCAAGCTGAAAACTAAAGTAGCGTGATAAAAAGTACAAGTAATTAAGATGATGATGAGGCGAATTTCAAACAAAGGGGAGCCTTGACGCCAAGCAATGCAAGCACAGCCGCCGGAATTCCCCACAAGGATTCACCGCAGACGAGCCCGGACGCCACAGCCGGTCCAAAATCTTTGGATTTCTGAGCGTTGGCCTTCCGCCAAAAGAAGAGAATCAAGCTGCCAACACACATGTCGATGGCGAAGTAGCCTCCGAGGTAGAAGGGGATGGCCATGCACATTGGGTTTGGAATGAAGCGGTACAATCTGTACCTTGTCTCAAACTTCTTCAGCAACTCCACGAGAGCATCAATGGCTACCGCGACAACGAAGCAGCCCACGGCCAGGCCGAGGCAGTTCTTTGGGAGGGATCCGAACCCCTCCACCCCTAACAACGCAATGCCGCGGTACATGAGCGCGTAGGGGGCAGGGTAGGACCCGTTGGGATCACCCAGCGGGTACGCCTTGTAGAATATCCAGAACACCAAGGGGGTTACGAGGCAGCCCATTGCGGTTCCTATGGCTTGGCTGAAGAACATTGCCCTTGGGGAAGCCAAAGTCAGGTACCCCGTCTTGAAATCTTGCATGAGGTCCGAAGCGGTGGAGACGATGCTCATCATGACCCCGCAGGAAGCCAAACCGGCCAAGACGCCGCCATTGTTGAGACCCACCCAAGCACTGAAGATGAGTATGGCAACCTTGCCGTAGTTTGAGGCGAGTGACCAATCGGTGAGACCACAGCCGTAGGCGTTGCAGAAGGCCAAAACCGGAGCTATCACATACACAACCACGATATGGTACCACTTGAGAGGATGGAAAATCAGCGGCACAACAATGATGGAGACAATGGCCAGGACAATGTAGCCGCAGACTCCTGCCCATTTCGGGATTGAGTCCTTCAAGAAGTATTCTCTCCTTATCTTGTCGTCGTAATCTTCTTCTTCTTCTTCTTCTTCACCATTGCGATCACGATTACGCTTGTTGAGAAAAAGGCTGAAAAGCGTGGTTATGGTCATGTAGACAAAGTGGAAAAGCCCATCACCGAGCATCATGGAAATGGCCAGGAAGACACGGTATCCTTGGATCCCGTGAAGGCTGGACCCAGGAAGGTCTGCCGAGTACCAATTCCCCTTCTTGGTTTCAATCCAAGGCCACAGAATCCCCCACGAGATCACTGCCCCTATGAGCAGGGAAACGTTTACCATGGCGGGGCAAAGCATCCCGACACCCACGTATGTCGAGGAGAAGTCAAAGTAGAATCTCTTCGCGTATGCTTTGAGGCCGAACGTCGGGATGCTGGCGAAGCCGCAGTCGTCCCCGCCCGCAAAGAACCATTGGAAACCAGCAAAGAGGAAACTAAAAGTGGAGGATTTGAAGAGCGTGGCGACTTGTTTCTTGGCCAAGACCGCTCCCTTGGGGGTGTGGAAGGAGTTGATGAGGTAGGCTGTTGCGGTTCCGCTAGGGTAGGTGAGTTTGAACTTGAGGACCATGAGTTTCCGGAAGAGGACAATGGAGAAGAGGCCAACGAAGCTAACGGCGAAAAGAAACGCCGTCACCCAGCCGAGGGAAAGGGTCTTCATGTTGTTGGGAGTGTTCCCGATCTCGGCCTGGTCGGCCACCCTTGGGATCATACCCAACATGTAACTAGCAGTTCCGCTGCTGAAGGCTATGCCGGAGGAGGCGACGACGCAGGTCTGGACGACGGTGTTCTCCTGGCGGGTGAAGGGGCGATGGAGGACGCCGATCTTGGTGAGGAGGGTGGTCCAGGACTTGATCATGGTGAAGGCTAGCAGCCCTGCGGCGACGTTGAGGGACGGGATGACGCCCNGAAAGGGTCTTCATGTTGTTGGGAGTGTTCCCGATCTCGGCCTGGTCGGCCACCCTTGGGATCATACCCAACATGTAACTAGCAGTTCCGCTGCTGAAGGCTATGCCGGAGGAGGCGACGACGCAGGTCTGGACGACGGTGTTCTCCTGGCGGGTGAAGGGGCGATGGAGGACGCCGATCTTGGTGAGGAGGGTGGTCCAGGACTTGATCATGGTGAAGGCTAGCAGCCCTGCGGCGACGTTGAGGGACGGGATGACGCCCGTGGTGAGATTCAGTTTGCAGACGATGAAGTTGAAAACGACGCTGAGGACAAGGCTCGCCACCATCGATCTCGCCGTCAATTGGTCCTTCCATGACGGCACTTCCGTGCTCTTGAATGCGTATTCCGTCGTCTCAGCCGCTGCCTTCCAGCTCTGATCTCCTATATTATTATCTCCCGTCGCCATTATTATTATTATTATTAATTTCGCCTGGGGAAGCTAGAGAGATGATAGATCGATCGAAGAATTGATATATATATATATATATATATGAAGGATCGATGATGAATGAATAGGATAGATGGATCGAGCTCCTATCTCATATTTATATAGGTAGAATGAGTGCGCGCAAGAATTGGGTAATTAGAGTTGGTGTAGGATAGGATTCATTATATATGTGAGTAATTTAATTATTATGAGGGGAATTAAGGTTCGTTGTGTTTAATTCTCCAACCAGAAATTCCATGTTAGATTGAATTCCTAATCCGACTGATATTCTTTAGAGTAAATTCTCATGGTTCGTCCTCCTCCCATGAGTTCAATTTGCAGTTATTTCTACTCCCAAAAGGAGTAGAAGAAAAGAAGTTTGAGATCCTTAGTATCCGGGTTTTATTGTCTTCGGAATTTTTAATACTTTTTGTTTTAATTTTAGAAAAAGGAAAAATTATACAAAATAATCCCAATTTTACCTGGTCTTTAAAAAATAATCCTACCTTTCACTGTGATGCATAATAATCCCAACTTTATTGAAATTTGCCAATTTTGGGTCGCCGTTAAGTTTCTAACGGAGGGTTAACGGAAATGCCCGTTTTAGGCAACAAAATGAAAGTTGGGATTATTTTTGATGAACTTTTGTTTTTTAATTTTTTTTGAAATTTTTATTTAAATTTTTTGAATTACTTTCAATCTCCATTTCTTTTTCTTTTTTAAAGATTATTCTTACCTTAGAAAAAAAATAGATATAAAAAATAATGAAAATGAGAAAAATAACTAAAATCATACAAAATTAATCAAATAAATAATGTAATCAATAGAAATTAAACAGAAACTGGTAAGAAATAAAATAAATATATACGGAGTGGTGGGTTTTAACATTTTACACACTATACGAAGTCTTAATGTACTACTTTTTTTAAAAGAACAAGCCGTCCGGTAAAGTTAGTATTATTGTAAATAAGTTTTCAAAAAAATAAGAAATGATATGTTAATACTTTGTATAATGCGTAAAATATTAAAACACACCCGTATATTTTTATTTTACTTTTACCAATTTCAAGTTAGTTTCCATTGATTAACTTATTTATTTTATTATTTTTGTATCATTTTAGTTACATTTCTCAATTTGTCATTTTTTATATCTATTATTTTTATTTTTTAAACTAAGACTAATCTTTAAAAAAGGAAAAAGAAATGATGATGGAGGTAGAAAGTAATTTAAAAAATTTAAATGAAAAATTTAAAAAAAAAATAAAAAAATGAAAATTCATCAAAAATAATCCCAACTTTCATTTTGTTGCCTAAAACGGGCATTTCCGTTAACCCTCCGTTAGAAACTTAACGGTGACCCAAAACTGGCAAATTTCAATAAAGTTGGGATTATTATGCATCACAGTGAAAGGTGGGATTATTTTTGAAAGACTGGGTAAAGTTGGGATTATTTTGGGTAATTTTTCCTTAGAAAAATTATCTCAATTTATTAACCTTTTCACACTCTTTAAAAAATAATCACATTTTGCACTATCCCCGCATATAATTCCATCTTTCCGCATGTGTGTGAATTTTAGATCGTCGTTAAAAAACTTACGGCCATTTTAAAATTTTTTTAGAAAATACTCCCTCCGTCCCAAAAAAGATTGGAACATTTTGACTAAAGTGGTAAAATAAGTAGGGATAAAGTGGTAAAATAAGTAGGGATAATTTTGTGTTGACTTTCCAAAAATACCCTTGGTGTGATGGGTAAAAGTAGGATGTGATGGGTAGATTATTAAGAAAAAGGCATGATGTGATAGGTAGGGTATGAAAAAGTAAAGGGTAAAAGTGGTTTTTTAATAGAAATGTAAAGAACTTTAAGGGACATAAATTTTTTAAAACGTGAAAGACTTTTTGGGACGGATGGAGCATCTGTTTTCGCAAATAAATGAAAGGTGAAATTATTTGAGAAAAATTTACTTTTTACTTTTTTTAATTTTAAATTTAAAATTAGTATTTTTAAAGATATAACAGTACACTCTTGTTAGAGATTTGTCTAACAATTTACAAATTTTGTTTTCTGTTCTAGGAAAAGTTAATATTGAATTATCAAAAATAATTAAGAGTATTGAAAAAGAAAAAATTTCAATGCAAAATAATTCTAGTGAGTTATAAAATTTATTAGTGCCATCCCGGAGCAAAAAATATTGTACCATTTCCACAACTTTTCAATTACTGTACTATTTTGGGGGCAAATTTGTACTGAATTATCAAAAAAATCACAAATTAGGTAGTTCCATTTTAGAAAAAAAATAATATAGACAATAGAAGATTATCAATAAATATTTTGGAGTGTTATTCATGAAAAAGTTTCAATACAACAGAAAATGTAGTGAGTTATAAAAATAAAAGTTTCATTTCAAAGAAAAAATTGTTGTGTTATATTCATAATTATTGTAATGTTGTTTCACAAATAATATTTATATAGAATTATCAAAAAATGTTCGCAAGTTTTGTAGTGCCATTTTTTAAGAAATAATAATATAGTACTCCGTATCAAAAAACAATTCGAAGTGCCCCTCGAAAAAAATAATTGCAACTTACAAAAAATGTAGAGAGTTATGAAGTAAATAAATTAGCTCTATTGTGTAGAATAATTTATTATTTAATTATCGATTATTGAAAAACAATTAGTTTCACTCTAAAAAACACTTGAATTTGGCATTATTTTTCAAAAAAAAAAATAAAAAATTCATTTAAATTTCAAGTTAGAAATTCAAACAACGAAAAAAGAAGTTACCTAAAATAATCTCACATTTTATTTATTTGCGAAAAACAAGCACTTTTCAAAAATTCCGTTAAGTGACTGTTAGTTTTTTAATGACGACCCAAAACTCGCACACATGCGGAAAGGTGAGATTATTTTTTATGACATTAAAAAGTGGGATTTTTTAAGAGCGTGAGATTATTTGAGCTAATTATTTCTTTTACTTTTTACTCTTGTATTTTTTTGAGAAATTATTTTTTACTCCGTACTCTTTTTTTACGAATATTTACTAGCTATTTTACTCTTTACTCTTAGTCTGTAATTCTTCGGCACAACCTACACGGTGAACTTATTTACCTCAATATATTCGTCCAATATGATTTTTTCGAGTTTAATTAGATAAACTTTAAACATTAATTAATTAAATAAAAAACTATAAAATACATTAGCAAATTAAATAAAAACGTGTGAGGTCAAAGAATTACAGACTAACTATTGATTTATCACATAACTATCTCTAAATTCTAGATCTTTCTCATGGGCTTAAGATCTACATTTATCAACTGAGCCTAACACAAGTCCTTTCTCTTTCACGGCATGTCCCTCTTATTGACGAGTTGGGCCGTCGGGATTGAGCAACAAATAAGCTTCTTGATCCCAATCTCCATCACTGTTTATAATTTGACTATTCTTTACACTCTGCCCTAAAATTAGGTATTAACCATGAATTAACCCAAAATTTGCTAGTGAATGAATTGATGATAATTACATGTTGGATTGAAATTGTGAAATAGGCCACTTATTAGTACTAGACGATTTGAACTGAATTAAATATTTGAATCACCAAATAAGATCTAGGCCTGGTGGGCCGAGCTTCGCATAACTCACGGGTCTTGGGTTAAAAATCTACGTACGGAAGTCATCATCCTGCCTGGAGATTTCTTGGTAGGGACTCCAACCCGCCCATTGAGGATTCTCTTTGGGTTTAGCAAGCGTGACCTTGGGCAAATCCGTCCGAGTGTCCATGACTCAATTAATCAAAAGAAAATCTTAGCTTATAGGGTTAAGTGCAGAAGAACAATAAGAACTGAACATAGGTGAATAAGTAGTTGATCATGATATTCGATAATGATATTTGCTGATTCCAGTGTTGTTAAGTTGTCGTCTAGTCGCCGACTAGTCCATGACTAGTCGTCCGGCCGTTTTGGAGAGCTCGACTTGATCATCGACTATTGCCTAGAACTGCTATGTTGCACGGAGACGGCTTGGAGACCTTGAAAATCCCAAAATGTGAGCAGACGGTTCCATGATTGAGAGAATGATGAAAGAGAAGAAGAAGATAGGAAGTAGAAAGACTCACATCTCCGATTTCATTATTGCCGCCATCAACATACAGACCTATTGTGTTTCCCTTTGTCAAGGGGATTTCAAACCCCCTCTCTCTCTCTTTGTTACTTACGGCTGCCCAAACAGCTCATAATATTTGGGTTGGTCAAACGTTAGTAGGCTTTTCTATGCAAGACCTAATTTTCTAATAAGGCTTTTAAAAAACTCATTCCTAAAAATAGGCATGCATATACAACTACTTTTTTACTTTTTTTAAGAATAAAGTTCACTTTTATTAAACCTAAAACAAAGTTTGTACTTTTATTGAGAGCAAACCTGTGTCATATAAAAAAATATTTTAATATATTATTTTTGTATTGGTTAATTGTTATCTTTGTTAGATTGTTGGGCTTGAAGAATTAAGGATATTTGTTCCTTATATTGTCATTGTTATGTAAGTTTATGTACTACCTTAAAACATAATTTTGTTATGGTAATAATACTTCATCGTATAAATATATATTTCCTTAATAGCCACCCAGTTTCTTGTGTAACATGTCATCAAGAAACTACTCACTCCACTTACCGCCATTAGCATTTTGAAATCCACTCATGTGGAAACGTCTGAATTAGCACCATACTTTCATCATTGAGCCTCAAAACCCCAAATTTGGCTACCTATTTAATTGCATCCACCTCCACTAGATTTCCTTACACTCTCTTCCTATTCTAATAGTTGACTTCTCTTACCCTGTCTTCCTAGTCTAAAAGTTTGACTTCCCTTTACTCTTTGCATTTTGTGTAGCGCCCTCAAACCGGCCTAGTTTTAAATAAATAAATATTATTTATTTATTGAGACTCATTATTTTTAATTAATAAATATTGAGATCTCGATCTCTTTAAATGGTTTTCCAAAGCAAAGGTATTTTAATATAAAAATATGTTTTAATAACGGACCTCTCAACATTAATTAAATAAATTAATTAATGGTTGGGGTGGACCCAGAAGTTTGAAAATAAA